TGACAGAAAGCAAATAGCTTCAGCACTAGGATTAGAGGTAACTTTTAAGCATCATCTGTTCCTGAGTGGCCCTCTTGCTTATTTTTTCTCCTTTTCTACACTACAGACTTTGCCAAATTCTCTCCTCCTTTAGCTGACTTTCTTGGACTTGACCTTTTGCCTGAAATTCAGAATATGCCATATTCTTCTAGCTCTGTCTGCTACTCTGGCACTTGAATTCAGTTTGTCTGACCTCTGGCATCTGCCAGACCTTATCTATTTTGTTAGACTCCCTGTTCTGATTCCTTCCCCTGCCCAGTGTAGTTAACACAAAATGGAGATTAGTCATTTAGAGGAAGCTTCCCAGAAATAACTTATTTTACATTGTGATTTAGAGATAGCTTACTGATGAAGATTATGTTGTCAGGAAGCAACCACCCTAGAATGTAACTAATGAAAGATAAGTTTTGTCATGAGATTTTTAATAGCTGAAGCATCTGGTGCCTAGTAAGGAATATTTTTTAAAAAGACAGTTGGAATCTCTCTGCTGATCTCTAAACTTGCATCTTCAAATGCTTTTTAGACATCACAAACTGGATGTCCAGCAGACATCTTAAACTCAATGTCTAAAACTGAACTCATCATCTTTCCCCCCCCCACTCTCTCCCCTTCCAAACTTCCCTATGACCATTGAGGGCAACACCCTACCCCCAGTCACCCACGCACGAAGAACCTAGGGGTCATCCTCTACTTCTCACTAATTCTCACCCCCATACCCAATCTGTTGTGAAGAACTGTTGATTTCACCTTTGCAACATCTCTCAAATATGCTCCCTCTTCTCATCTGATACTGTCACTACTCTGGTGCAGCCTTATGCTTGAATCATTGCAATAGTCTGCTGGAGATGTGGAGGGGGTCTTCCTGCATCAAGTCTCTCCTTACTCTAATACATCCTCCATTCAGCAACCAAATTTTCAGAGTACAGGTCTAACTAGGTCACTCCCCTACTTAATAAATTTCAGTGACATATACTAAATCCACTGTTTGGCATTCAAAGCCCTTCATAACCACCCCTCCTGCCTTCTTATATCTTATGCCCCTCTTCCCCTTTCTTTTTGATCCAGTGTTACTGGCTTCCTTGCTGTTCCCCAAACAAGTCACTCTATCTCCTGGGCTCGCTGTCTCCCAAGCTTGGAATGCTCTCCCTTACCTCTACCTCTTGGCTTCCCTGGATTGCTTCAAGTCTCAGCTAAAATCTTACCCTCTACAGGAAGCCTTTCCTAATCTCTTTTAATTCTAGTGTATTCTCTCTGTTGGTTATTTCCTATTTATCCTGCACATAGCTTGTTTGTACATATTTGTCTGCATGTTGTCTCCCCCATTAGATTGTGCTTTTGCCTTTTTTTGCATGTCTAGCACTTGGCACAGTGCCTGGCACATAGTAGGCACTTAATAAGTGCTTATTTACTGACTATGTCAATGAGCACTGGACAAGGGAAAGGGTAATCTGGTTCCAAATGATGAATACCTGTTCTTTAGCTAGAAACATTTCCTAACTTGTGGCATAGCAACATTCTAAGCTATATACAAATATCTTTTTGGCAACATCTCATTTAATTTACCCACAAAGTAAATTTTTCCTCCATCAGTTAGTTTTCAAGTGAACCTACCTACTTGAGCAGATGACTTGAAATTGGTTTTCCAGCTAGGCATATCACATCCTTCATTATAAAATAATAAATTATCATTACGGTTTCTTTGTTGTTTGTGATTTTGGTTAGTATGAATAAAACCCAAAACGCTGGAAGAAACTAATAAAATCTAGTTCCTGGACCTTCGAGCCTGAAGATCAGGTTCCAAGTGGCAGTGACCCCATCAAGACCCAACTACACAGTGAAGCCCTGACAGAAATGACCCACTGTCTTTATCCTTAATTAGAAAATTCAGGCACAGGGAAAAAATTAAAATAAAGAATTATTAGTTGAAGCAGAAATGTTACCTGAAACATGAGGAAAAAAATTGACAAGACAGATGAAAAAACCCAGAATACACATAGCTTCCATAATACTTTCAAATCTGTAGTAGTCATTATTGAGCATCTCTCTTATATTTCCAGTTGTCCCACTGTATTACTAGTTATTACCTTATTCTCTTCAATTCCTACAGGGACATGATCATGTTTCGGTTGCCTGCAGAAACTGAGAAGAGACACTGCTAATCACAGCAATGTTGTCAAAGTTGTACTGTAGAGGCCACAGCTCCTAATCTGGAATTTTTTTTCCCTAGATAACTCTATTCTTTTAAAGTCCTTGGTGTTATCTCATGTTTGCTGAGGTTAGTATTTTCCCACATTTTGAAGACAGATGAAATTTGGGGCTCATACCTGAGCCTTATTGACCATATTCTCTACACTACAGTCAGAAGGCCCATGTTTCTAATTACATTTGATTCAGCTTCTGTTCTTCAGGCTCTATTTATATCTGTAGAACAACAATAATTTTCCTAACATCAAAGAAGAGAAAACTGAGGGAAAAACCTACACATATCCATGTGTGAGACAGAGAATTCCAATTTTCTAATTCTTTGCTGCAGTGAATGAGCTCAGTTCCTGATCAGTGAATGCTTCACTAAGCCCCCTAAATTCTGGCAAGCTCCTCCCTTGTTTTACTTTACTCTCATCTACTTCATCCTCTGGTGGCCCAGTGGATAGAGCATCAGGCCTGGAGTCTGGAAGACTCATATTCTTGAGTTCAAATCTGGCTTTAGATGGTATGACCCTGGGCAAGTCACTTAACTTTGCCTCAGTTTCTTCATCTGTAAAATGAGTTGGAGAAATAAATGGCAAACCACTCTAGTATCTTTGCCAAGACAATGGGGTCACAAAGAGTTGGAAATGCACCATCTCTATAAATCTAAATCACTTACGTCCCTCCCCTGCTATATATGTTGTCCCCTCTATTAAAAGGTAAGCTCCCTGAGAACAGAGCCTATTTTTGCTTTTGTATGTTTATCCCTAGTACTTATCACAGAGCATGGCACATAGTAAATGATTAATAAATGCCTTTTAATTAATTAACTCACTTTCTCCACTAGTGGTAGTTTTTACCAGTCTAGATTATAGCTATTGCTGAGTCATTTTTCAGTCACATCCAATTTTTCATGAAGGGTGAACTTTGTGAAGCCAGTGAACTGAATATACAGTTATTTAATTTCTTGACCCTTACAGATTGTCTCTAGGTTGGTTGAGAAAATGGTCCAGTAGGGGTGGGCAGCTAGATGCACAGTGGATAGAGCACCGGGCTTGGAATCAGGAAGACTCATCTCACTGAATTGAAATCTGGCATCAGACACTTACAAGTTATGTGACTCTGGGCAAGTCACTTAACCCTGTTTGCCTCAGTTTCTTCATCTGTAAAATGAGCTGGAGGAGCAAATGACAAACCACTCCAATATCTTTGCCAAGGAAAAACCCCAAAATGAGGTTAGGAACTGCTGAACACAACTGAAAAACAACCAATAATAACAATAATGACAATAATGATGATGATGATGATGATGATGATGTGTTGGGAGCCTCTTGGCTGTGTGCTGATCTCAGTTGGCTTACAGGAAAAAAATTCCTAAGAGTTTCAACTGTTCAAATCAACAAGCACAACATTCTGTGCAGCGTGGAGAAAGTCTCCACGTTAAGACGTGTGGGGCCTGACGTCCTACGGCAGGGATACTTCTCCATTTGGAGACAACCCTCAGGAGCTTTGGGTCAGGTTAAGATGTTAGGGATTTTAAGCACATCAAGCACTGGACTAAAGGAAGAGTGATCTGGAATATTTGAGATTCGAAAAGTAGCTGGGAGACAACGGATGCAGATGGTCTTTCTTACCTTTTGGTCCATTTGCTCTGTTTAATTCTCAATCAACCTCTCTCTTCGGCATTCTCTCTCTTCCCTTTTACTCTCTATCCTTGCTCAGTTCTAGCTTCTATCCCTTTCTTCACTTTTTCCTCCTTGACTCAATATTTTTCTGCCTCCTTCATTGTTTCATTGTCTTTTTTTTTCTCTCAGCCTTAACTGGCTAGAATATGGAACTGCAGCCTATTTTAAAAAGCCATTATCTTTATCAAATAGTTTTATGTTCCTAATTCTAAATCTAAAAAGTGAATGAACTAAGCAATTTATATTTCCCTTTCTCTCTCATAAAATTAAGTTGCTTTTTACTTGTGTATGGCCTCAACTGAGTTTCTGTGGAATCAGTGTCCCTCAGGGAATAAAAGGTCCCTTCCCTATCCCCTGTGCTATAATAATGCATTTCAGAAAAGCAAAACAACTCCCTCTGGAGTAGATCTCAAGAATAACATTAGATGGAGGATTCTTAACAGGAAAACTGGTTAGACAGCATATTAAAAATTAGCTTTCATTAGGTAGCAAATTCTACTAGTGAAGCTGGGGCAGCCAGAGAAATCTGATCAATTCTGTGGAATGACACAGACAAATCTAAGGTTATGAAAAGTAATTATTTTTATACACATACTTGTCCTTAGAAAAACATTCAGATTTAAGATTCCTCCTACCTTCCACCATCTCCCCATCAAACCCATGAAGGCTTTTTCAAGCAGATATAAAGTCACTCCAGAGGCAAAGGAGCAGGGTATGTCTCATACAGTTATTTGGTGACCGTGAGCTCAAAATCATATCTACAGCTGATCATGCATAATCAAACACACATACACATACATGATGAATGTGGACTTGTGGACACGAACTAAACAAGCTTAGGTTTCTCATAGGAGCATGCTTTACTGGGTGAAAGCTGGAAGGCTTTCACTTGGAATTGTGAAAAGCTCTGGGATACCTCTTAGGCCATAGCATAAGAGGTTTGGAGAGAAGCTAATCCTTTATGTGAATCCAATTTAACCTAGTTGAGTTATGGATGAGGAGTAGGAATGGAGTATGACAACTGGAAGGGGGGGGTTATCATGCAAAAAGAGCAAGGGTCAGATGGTGCTCACACTGACAATCACTTACTGCCTGCTTTTGCTCTTCTTCCTGCAGGTGTTGGCCATGGGGAAAAAAACAGGCAGAGGGAGAAAAGGAATAAATTAGTAGCAACTCTGAAAGGTAGCTCATCCCCATAAACCTTCAGCAGAAGTGATTAGAAGAACCAGGCACATCAGAAAATAGAGGTTCTCTGAGAGCAACAGGTAAATCAAGCACCAGTTTTTCCTGCCTTACCAAATGAATCAGTAACAGTATCTGGAAGGGACTGATGAGATCATTAGTTCAAATCCCTTATTTTATAGGTGAGGAAACAAAGGCCTAGAGATATTCAATGACTTGCCCAATGTTGTAAGGTTGATTATTGGCAAAAACTAAGACTGGAACCTAGGTCTCTCCCCACTGCATGATGCAGCTCCTGAGGTGAGATGGACTTCGATATCACTATCTAAGTATTTTACCTCAATTTCCAAACCATCTTATTTATCATTATCTCTTTGCTATAATCTATGTTGACTTCCCCACCTAAGAATGTCTTTCTTCCACTTCTGTTTTTAAATTCTGCAATTCCTTCAGGGCCCAACTGAAGACCTGTCTTCTCCAACAGCTTTTCCTTGACTATAGTTCAACTCCTCAGATAGTCTAGCAAGGTCTTAATTGAACAAGTGTCTAGCCAGTACCAGGGATGGGATGTGCTGCTGTGCTTAAATAGCCAACCAGCTGCTCTTGGTGGAAAGACAGCACTCCCTACACCAATGCGGTGGCAACTTATCTGAAGCATCATCTAAGTGAGTTGTCTGGGGCACCGAGAAGTTAAGTGATTTAACAAAGGTCATGTAGAATGTATCAGAGGTAAGATTTGAACTCAGGTTTTAATGACTCCAAGTTTAGAACTCTCATTGACCATACCAGGCTGCCCCTCTAATAGTAAGATGAAATTGATATAACAATCTCAAAGTTTGTAAAGTTCTTTACATTTACCTTATTTTATTCTCAAAAAATAATCCTGTTTTAAAGAATCATTGTTGCAATTTTGTAAAAGAGGAGACTGAGGCTCAGGGGGTTAAGTGACTTGCCCAAGGTCACACAATCAATAAATGTGGGATTTAAACTCAGGTTTCTCCAGATTTCAAGTACGATACTCTTATTTCTAGACCACAAGGTTTCTCTGGTCAGGATGGGATAAGTATAGGTAGGGAGGAAACAACTGGAGAAACCCAGAGTGTGGAAGCTAATAGGGCTCAATCCCAAGAAGAAGGCTTGTTCTGGGTCATGCTCCCAGAGGTTTCTAGGCGATTGTAATAACAACCCCAGGTAACTAAGGTTACAGGAAACTAAATGCATAGCAATAACCTTTACTCAGAGGAAGCCAGGCAAAGATGGTTTTAATAATTAGCTTATAATGAAAAGAATGAGAATGAGAATTTGAAGCCTCTTCTTTTCAACTTTTGATATCCCTGGCTCCATTTGAAGGAGAAATTAGGATCGGAGAGATGTTTTGCCGTTGGTACGTCTTTTCCTGAGATTGAAGGATGGGGATTTCCATACCCATAAAAGGTCAAGAGAGGTCTTTGTAGTTGGAAAATATTTTTCTTCCATGCAACCACACCACACTCTGGGAATATTTCATTACTTCCTCCAAAAAATGGGCCATAAGGGGAGTCATCTAACCTATTTCCAAATAATGATATAATTTTTCAGACCTTGTCAAGTTCAGCTCTCATGTATGGATTGGAACTGGACATAGGGGAATGCAGTGATAGGCTGAAACTACTCCTGAGGATAGAAAAACAGAATATAATTCTCCAGAGCTATTCTTTGGGTTCCTCCCTACTTCCATCCTCAGAACTACTCTTGTTTGGATCCCAAATAACAAGTCCTGCTGGGTCAGCAGAATATGGAACTAACATTCCCACATGCCAGTGTACCAAAAGTTTTACACTTGCACTATTAGGTGAAATGACTGCAATTTTTGTCTAATGACAAACATGAAGCCATCACCTAAAGTTTGAGAGGGGATATGTTTGAGTGGGGTGCAGGGACTGGGGAGGTGTTCAGAGACAGAACTTCTAGTATACATGAGAGAGTCTGATGGGCAATAGCTGCAATTTTTTTTCAAGGAAGCTGCATTTCAAACTCACAAAATCCACGTTTCTGCCTCAGTACAGGCAGCAATATTCTTACTCGCTAAGAGGTTCTATTTAGAATTTTTTTGTTAGCAATTAGTCTTTAGGGTCAATAAACATAGGATGACAGTAGCAGAAGGAGGTCACTTAAACATAGCAGGGATAGTAACACCTTCTTTGTAAATTCAAATCAGGAATTACTTATAATTGTCTGAAAACACCTGAAAATATCTTTGCCACTTTTAAATAGGGTGTTTGGTTAAACACCCAGAAGCAATGGCGCTGCTAAGGTGGTTGCTTATACAACCTATTTCAATATAACAGGTACACAGTCTGGCTGTTGATTCACATTAGCTGTAATGATCTGCTTTTCCAGTCCTCGTGACGTTATCCCCTATTCTCACCTCCTTTTTCTTTGAATGTCTCTGGTGAAGAGATGCTGATCCAAGGTTAAATCCTTCCATTTGATCTTATTCCCTTCCATCTTCTCTGGCAGATTACCTCCACGATTATTACTTTAAATTTAAATCTGTTCCTACTTACTGCCTCATTCCCTGCTGCCTTGAAAACATGTCACTCTTTCATGGGTTTTTTTGTGTTTTTTTTTGGGGGGGGTTGTCAGGGCATTCTTTTTGCAGACTGAAATAAAGACTGTCTTGTATTGGATACTGTTAACTTGAGTGCTTGCATGGCAGCTATTGAGACTATAGATGTAATCTCTATTTTGAACTTTCCAGGGAAACCTAAGTGTAGGCAAGACAAAGCAAATAAATAATAATAAAAAATAGAAATAATTTGCTGTGGCATTTGCCCTGCCCTATGTCTCCCATAATGATTGAACTCAGTTGATATAAATACAGAATTCGGGTTGTGGGTCATACACAAGTTATACCTGTGTTTGCTATCTATTAATGTATATTTTATATCTCTTCCCCTTTTACCTCCAATTAGAATGTAAGATTCTAGAGGGAGTGGATTGTTTCATTTTTCCTTTGTATTCTCAGTGCCTTGTACATAATGGTGCTTGATATATGTTTGTTGAACTGCAGACTACAAGCAGACTACACGTCAAAAATGGCAGGACGTGCCTGTGAAATGAAAATCAGGATTCTTTAGAGATGATTTTTGTTGTACTAGGGGACAATTTTTTTTCCCTGTGGGAGAACATCTATAAAATTATAATAGAAATCAGCAGGGGAAATGACTTATTACATACTCTTAGAGCAGAAGAAACCTGATTCAAATTTCTTCATGTTCTAGATGAGGCCCAAAGAGTTTAAAGTTAAGTTGTTTATGGTCATGTAGCTAGTTAGTACAGATGAAAGCCCATATGTACTTCTCTTAGAAATTTGTCCACTAAAGAAATGAGATTTGCACACTATTAAAAAGATAAAAATTTATTTTTGCGTCTAGCATGTACCAAATGATCTTATGACCTGTTTCTATATTGCCTCCACAGATCATAGGAAGGGGTTAAAATCTGGCTCTACATCTAGACTTCACTCCCTTCCTTTTAACAGGGAGTTTTTTCCCCTTCTTTAATTATAGCTTTCAGGGGTTCAGAGAAAGAGTTGTAGTCTGTGTTCGTGGCACTTGAACCATTCCAACTGGTGGTATTCAACATAATGGTGGTTGTGCTCACAGAACATAGAAGAGAGTACATGAGGACCTATGACCAAGAGGCAGTAATTTAAGGCCTCTATTAGAGCAACCAACTGATCTAAAAGGACCTACTCCAGGTGACCCAGTTGGAGATTAGGATAAATCATTTCTCCTGGAATTAAAAAAAAATAATTATATGTCACATGGGCATTTGTGTTTGAATAGTAACTGAGAACAACTCTCTAACTGCTTAATAGGGAGACAGTGAGTAGATCTGACCACAGTGTTCTGCCCTCAGAGTGTCCTAGTGCTAATTCCACATGGAGTTGTCATGAAGCAAGGCTTTCAAAGTCCCTCATGGCTCCAAATTCTGACATGAGCCAAACACATTTACAGGTCTATGTTCCCCAAACTGTGATACTTTAAACTGGTTAGAGTACAGTCTATCTGCCTGACAACCAACAGGAACCTTGGGTTGGACCTTGGCTCTGTCTCCATTGTATATGCTTTAAATAAGACATACTATTTTTGAGATGACATTTCCGTGCTCTCTTCAGGGAAGTCCTTGGAGATGGGGAAGCTGAACTAGCTTCATTTTACTGATGAATTATCTTAGCAGAGCACAGGAGAGCTAAACAAGCTAAGGCCATAAATGAAAGATGCTCTGAGATCACTGCCATACCCCCTGCTAATTATTTCAGTCCAATGCCTAGTGCTCACTGTATAATTCAGGGTATCTGATATATGGGCTGTATGGTATAGCTGAAGGAGTACTAGACTTAGAATCAGAATAAGGCTGGATTCAAACTCTGTCTCTGATAATTGCTAGCTATATGTTGATGGATAAGTCACTTAACCTGAGCCTTAGTTTACTCCGATGTTAGACAAGGATAATAATAGCCATGATGTTCACTTCCTATGAGTGCTGCAAGGTTCAAATGAGATAATAAATGGTGCTTTGTCAACCTTAAAGTACTATCGAAATGACAGTTATTATTATTGATATAAACTCATTGAGAGCAGAAACCATATCTAGAACAATCCCTTGAATATATTTGGTATTTAATAAATTTTGTTGAATATAAAGACGTTCCTCACATAAATTTTCATGATTATATAGGCTCGGAGTCAGAAAAAAATAAATTTGGACCAAAAGAAACCAGGCCTTAACCAAAGGAAATGTATAATAAAAACGTAAAGTATAACTCCTAACATTAGTATTACATTTTTTCAATTTCCTCAGGCTAACTAGAGTCAGAGATTACAATGTCAGGCAAGTGTCTAATATGGAAAATTTACATCTTGATCTTCCTCTTGTCCTTGCTATTATTCTGTTGTTGTTGTTCAGTCATTTCAGTTGTTTCTGACTCTTCATGACCCCATCTGGGGTTTTCTTGGAAAAGATACTGGAGTGGTTTGCTATTTCCTTTCCAGCTTGTTGTACAGATGAGGAAACTGAGGTAAACAGGGTTAAGTGACTTGTCCAGGGTCACACAGATAGTAACTGACTCTAGGCCTGGCACTATCCACTGTGCCACCTAGTTGCCCATTAAAATTCTACCTCTCCTTTAAATTTCAACCCAAGTCTCCTCTCCCCAAAGCTTTCTCATATGACTCCATTCTAGCACTTATTTCCATATTAGTCATTTTTTTGAATCATACAGGTACTAGTTTGTGGTTGAAGTGTTTCATGTACTTACGGCCTTTTCCCTCAGCTAGATTATGAACCCTTTAAGGGGAGGTATTCATCACAACACCTAATAGAATGTTGGACACATAGTGGTCACTAAAATATCTGTTGAATTGAATTGTATGAACAAGCCTGCATTTGTACCATGACCTTGAAATAACCCCAGTTAATCACAATCTTTCCTCACTCCCAAAATATGTCTCTTTGAAGGAGGTAGGAGAAGTCAAGGAGCATGACTGATCCCTGGAAAAGAATTTGGGGATATCTGAATGGTAACGGAATCATGGCTTTTATTCTGGCAGGCAAGTTAGTGTCCTCCCTGTATAGCTTAATGGTGTTAAACAGACAGGACCTCAAAACTAAGAGCATAAGCAAAAGCTGCTTTTGGATTGCTGACACATTGCTTTGTGAACAATGCCCAGGACATAGTGTCAGAGGGAGAACATTCAAGTGTCAGGATGGTCTTTCCTTGTTTCAGGTGCTTATTTAAAAAGGCCCAAGTGCTGTAGCATATTTTCTTTCCCCAAAGGAAAGTGGGACCTCAATAAGCCCTCTCCTATACAGCATCCTAATATGCTTAACTTAAAGCCAGCCACTTGTTTCACTCCAAAGAAAAGAATTTAACTAGAACAAGGACCAGATTGGTCTTTCTTTGTATTGTCCATGAAGAAAGGGTTTCTTAAGTAATGCTTTATACTTACTATTTGGTGCACCTCTCCCCACACCCCCAATAATAAGAATCACACAGAATAGGTATGACAGATGAGTTGTGGTCAGCATTATTGAAGATTACAGATCCATTTGAGTATCTGTTTATACTTAAACACCATACCTAATGTTTCTTTAATATGTCAATAATGTAAATAACTATAGGCAGAATGCATAAAATAATGTAAGTGAAAACTATTTTCCTAAGAAGCAACTATTTTAGAAACATTAACCTGTAGATAAATTACAAGCCATTCTCATCTAGTCATTAAAGCAATTATCTCAAGGTCATTAATTTAGTTCCAGTTGCCTTATATACATAAAAGTAATAAAGCTGTACTTATTTTAAAATATTCACTTTTTCCCTAATTGAGATGGGCATTTCCAATAACTAATGAGCTTTTGCAAAATACTGGTCCCAGAAGGAGCAATTAACACTTAGTCCTGAAATTGAGTGGACATCCATCGATTGTGGAATAGTTGAACAAGTTGTGGTATATGAGTGCAATGGAATACTGTTGTGCTGTAAGAAATAATGAACAGGCAAACTTCAGAAAAACCTGGAAAGACTTACATGAACTGATGCTGAGTGAAGTGAGCAGAACCAGGAGAAGACTGTACATAGCAACAGCAACATTATGCAATGATTAACTATGATAGACTTAGCTCTTCTCAGCAATACAATGATCCAAGACAATTCCAAAAGACTCATGATAGAAAATGCTATCCACATCCAGAGAAAGAACTATGAAGTATGAGTGCAGATCGAAGCATACTATTTTCACTTTTTTTGTTTTTTCCTTCTCATGGTTTCTCCCTTTTGTTCTGATTCTTCTTTCACAACATGACTAATGTGGAAATATGTTTAACGTGATTGTACATGTATAACCTATATCAGATTGATTGCTGTCTTGGGGGGGTGGGAGGAAGGAAGGAAGAGAAGGAGAAAAATTTAGAACTCAAAAATTTATAAAAATGAATGTTGAATATTATCTTTACATGTAACTGGAAAAGAATGAAATACTATTAAGGGGGGGAAAACTTAGTCCTGCTCCAATATCACAATCAGGGCAGAAACTGCAGCTACGGAGGAAGATGGAGAAAAGGTCCTGGGAGGATGAGAGATTTCTAAGTGGGTCGACAGGTCTTACCTTCAGTAGTTTCATGAGCCCTTCTAGCTGTACCATCAGCTCTCGCCGGCTCTCCTGAAGTGCAGACATCCTTTGTTCCAATTCATCCTTCCTCTGCCTGTTCAGGAAGGAAAAAATTATCAGAGAAGAAATCTTTGAGAAGAGGATTATAAAAGAGAGTAACTCTTGCTTCTTCTCCATGCTGAAATTCTCATTTTGAAAAACTATAAAATCAGTTTTTTAATCATGGATAAAAACTGCCTTGGGAAAATAGAAATTTAGAATTCACATAATCATAGCATTTTAGAGCTCATGGAGACCCTCCTCAGAGGCTATCTAGTCCAGTCCAGACCCCAGAAGGAATCTACATTGCAGTATACCTGCCACTGGTTCTTAGACTTCTATCTAAAGACTTCCAGTGAAGAGGAAGTCACTACCTCAGGAAGGAGTTGACTTCACTTTAGGACAGTTCTAATTATTAGGAAGTTTTTCCTGACATCAATTTGCCTCTTTGAAATTTTTACCTACTGCTCCTGCTTCTTCCTTTTGAGGCAGAATAGAACAAATCTAATCCCTCCCTCACAAAAAGCCATCCAAATACTTGCATACAGCTATCATGTCCGTTCTCTTCAAGCTAACCACACCCAAATGATCCTCATATCACACAGACTCAAGGCCCTCCACCTTCCTGGTCACCCTCTTCTGGACACTCTCCAACTTATCAATGGCCTCTTTAAACTGTGATAGCCAGAACTGAATATGATGTCTGGATGTGCTCTGACCAGGACAAAGTATAACAAAACCATCACCTTCTTGGTTCCCTGCCTTTCTTTAAGCCTAAGCTCCTCTTATCTTTTTTGGGATGCCACATTACTCTCTTAACTCATATTGAGCTTCTGGTCTATTACAGCTATTAGATCTTTTTCTGACAATTACTTTCTAGTCATACCTTCCCCATCTTATACTTACAAAACATGATTTTTAAAAATCCAAATGTAAGACTACATACAATTATCTAAAATGAATTTCATCCTATTGGATTCAGCCCAGTCTTCTAACTTACAAAGATCTTTTTCAGGATCATGACTGTCATTCAGTGGGTTGGCTATCACTGCCAGCTCTGTGTCATCTACAAACCTTATAAACATGCCATTTATCCTATGCCTTCATCCATGTCATTGATAAAAATGTTACCCAGAAACGACCAAGCAGAGATCCCTGGGACACTCCACTGTAGACTTTCTGCCAAGTTGACATTGAACCATTAATAAATACATGGAGTCAGAAAGAGTTCAAACTTGCAAATCCATCTAATTGTATTATCATCTAGTACATATCTCTCCATCTTTTCCATAAGAATGAGATCTTTTATCAAATGCCTCACCAAAATCCAATCATACTTTATAGTGTTGCCTTGATCTACCCATTTAGAAACTGTTAAAAAAAATGTTAGTTTGATATGACCTGTTCTTTCCTTTAAGATAGCTATTGATTGATGTCTTTTGTTTTTACATCACCTTAATTTCCAAATATATTACCCTCCCTTCTTCGATTAGTGAGTCATTCCTTACAACAGGGAAAAAGAAGGGGGAAAAAAGCATTTCAGCCAAACTACCCAATACATAGACCAAGACTGAGAGGATATGCAATATTTCACATTTATAGTTCCCCACCTCTTCAAAGAAGGGAAGGGAGGAACACTTTCTCAGTTCTTCTCTAGGACCAGGCTTAGTCATTATAGTTACAAAGTATAACAGCCTTGGGCCTTAAGCACACCCATTTTCCTTCTTTGAAGATGTGGGTGGCTGTGGATGTGGGACATAGCACATCCTGCCAGACTTGGCTGATGGGTTATTGGTTGGTTTTGCTGAAATTCTTTCACCTTCTTTCTTTTTCATTCTTTGTTATGAGATGGCTTTTTAGGTGTAGGAGAGGGGAGGTATACATTCAAAAATGAGGGTGATGAGGTTTTGTGTGTGTGTTATATTGTTACAGTAGTTTTGGTTCTGCTTATTTTATTCAGCATTAGTTTTCCCAAGCTCCTCTATACACATCATATTCAATGTTTCAAATGCCACAGAATTATCCCATTATATTCAAATACTGCTTAGATACTCCTCCAACTGATGGATATCTACTTTGTTTCCAGTTCTTTGATGTCACAAAAAGTACTGCTCAGTGTATTCTGGTGTATATGGGGCCTGACAGGGGAAACAAGCCAGACTAGCTGAAATAGCAAGGAAGCCTGAGGAAGCCTGAGGGACAGAGCATGTCCCAGAGAAGTCAAACCACTTGCGCCACCTCAAACACAACCTTGTCCTACCCCTTCCCCCCAGACCCTGATGGAGACAGTCTACGACCCTGAGCCCAGAAGTCCTTGGAATAGCAGTGGCTCTGTATCAACAGGCCTGCTCTCACCTCAGCCCTCTACATTTTGTATTGTCTCCTAGCTTAATGGTACATGGCCCTATCTATGTTCATACATCAGCAGTTGTCTTAAGATACTATCATGCGGTTATAGGTGTTTTGCCTCCCTTATGTCTAATATACCTGCTCTTAGGTTTGAAAGATTCTCAATGTCCCCCTGGTACATTTGTCTATTCTAAGGTATCATTCTCCCTCTCTTCAGTGAAATCTTTCTTCTCTTTGTACTTTATAACTAGAATAGAGAGATCTTTGAGAAAGAAATGTCTGTAACAAGAAGTCATTAGAGAGGAAATCCTCTGCTTCCATGGAGCTCAGCCTGCCTTCCCCCTTCTGCACAAAGGCAAGGTGCCCTAGTGCACAGAGAACTCTGGGAGACAGGACTAACTCTATATGTACTCATTCAGTTTGAGAGTAAATATAGGGAGCACCATCAGTTGTTATTATGATGCTCATCAGGGTGGGCAGCTGCCCAGAATGGCTTAACATAATAATGACAAAGATTAACTGATCCAAGTCTGTCTTCCTGCTCAAGCTTATTGAAGTCTTTATTTTTTATCTCTACACCAACAGCACAGAATTTTTTTTTTACAATTTTATGTGTGATATTCTGGTGTCAGGGCTTTTGGGTAGTAAGACCTTTAGTATAAGACATTACTCCATGAACCTTTAGGGATCCCAGGACCACTGATGAGCTATATGAGATTCTATGTAGCTTAAGGTCTCATTTGTTTTCTCTCTCTTCTAATTTCATTCACTGCACTAACAGGCACTATTTAAATGTAAAACATAATATTATTCTCAAGAAGAGACTCAAAAGTTAAATAATGCATGGTCCTTTTGAACCATTCTCTCTTTTACTGGCAAAGAACCTAGGTTCACATTTAGTTCTACTAGTTAATATCTGAGTGAGCTTATATAAGTCATTGAAACTTCTTGGCCCTAAGTTCCCTCATGTGTAAAATAAGGAATTAAACTAAATTATTTCTAAGTTCTTTGTAGCACTAAATCATATCCTAATCAATCAATCAATAAGCATTTATTAAGCTCTTACTATGTGCCAGGCACTATGCCAACCACTGGGGATACAAAGAAAAAGGAAAAACAGTCTCTGCCCTCAAGAAGCTTATGTTTTAATGGGGGAAACAACATATACAAATCAAGATATATAAGATAAATACAGAGTAGATGGAAGACCACCTTAGTGGGGATGGGTGGGGTGGAAAGGCCTCCTATGGGAGGTAGCATTTGAGCCAAGTTTTAAAGGAAGTCAGGGATTCTAAGAGGCCAAAGTTGGGAGAGAAGCATTCCAGGCATGAGGAATAGTTAATACAAAGGCTTGGAGATGGGAGATAGAATATTCCATACAAGGGACAGCAAGTAGGTTAATATGGCTGGATTTCACAGAACCTGGAGGGGAGTAAATGTAAAAAAGATTAAAAGAACTTATAAATTGAAAGTTTGGGGGAAAAGAATTTCTGTTTTGGACATGCTGAACTTGAGAATCCTAACATACATCTAGTTTAAAATGTCCAACAGGCATCTGGCAGATGGGACTGGTGCTTTGGAGAGAGACTAGAGCTGGATAAATAGATCTGGGAATCTTCAGCGGATAGTTGATATTTCAACCTACAGTAACTGAGGAGATCACTGAGTCAGAAGAGGGTCCACAATAGTTCATGTTTACAAATGGTCTAAAAACTTTATAATTCTTAATACCTTGTGTTCCCCTTTTTGCAATTCTGGCACCTTCACTGAAGGAGGTCACACAGGATTGAGAATCATTTTGTATTTTTGTTTTCACAGCCAAAGATTATATCACTCAGTGGCCACTGTACTAGTGATGGGCTGCTCCATATTTAGTGAGGCCAGTCCTTGGAAGGCAAACACAGTCTGCTACTGAAACCAACCAAAACCCTGCAGCATAGCTGAATCTGCTGGAGCTTGTACCATGCGAAAAAAGTCTCTAAGAATGCAGGGTTACTTTCACCCCTCTATGTGGCAAAAGAGTAGGACTTTGTGGAGGTTTATAAAAAGAGAACTATAAAATTCATCTACCTCTATACAGACATGAGGTACAACTCTGACAGGAAGTTATGAGTGACCCAAAGGAAAATGGAGGGAGACATAGAGTAGTCAAAAGTAGGTTGAAGCATTTTTCAAATGATGGCTTATGGGCAAGAACTGATATTTAAGATATCATTAAAGACTTACATGGAGGTATAAAAGAAATGGAGGTACATAGGTTATAAGGCTATATGGTAGGTAGGTTATATGGTTATAAGAGCAAAATGGGTAACTAGACCAACATAGAGTATGAATGCTTCCCTTGTACTCAGAGACTATAAAATGACCTAGAAGACCTCTACTGTATCAAGTAGGTCCTCAGTAGCTGATCTATGGAAGACCATGGATAAGAATAACAGAAAATTAAAAGACATGAATTAGTTACAATCTTTACCAAAGAAGAGAATACTAACATTGAGTGGATCACAGATCCACCGAAGTAAAACATTAAAAATGAAGATAATGAACTGAATCTTGTTGCCTCTTCTATTCCAAAAAAAGACTCCTCTAATAGTCACTGACAGTGTGTCCTATTGTTTCTGTCTCCAAGGAGTTAAATTCTCCCCCTAAAATAGCGTGAAAAGCAAATTTGGCCACAAAAACTGATGGTGTGGAGAGCTGCTTCTTACCTAAGTAGCCGGAGCTCTGCCAAGAGTGTGGGGTTCTGCTGAGCCTTCTCAGGAGTTGGTTGAGAAGCTTGCTCATGCTCTAAGCGGAGGCGCTGAATCTCCTGAAGAATTTCTCTGGAAAGAAAGGGGAATGTCAATCAGGATAATGACAGCTATTCAAGAGGTAACATTTTCTAGACTTCATAGTTTTATTTTCCAAAAATGATGCTGTCTACGAAAACACCCTATCTAACCATCCCTTCCCTGCCTCAACACTCTTCCTGGTATTGAATGTTCCAATATGAATTAAAATATGAAATGAATATCTTTCAAATACAATTTCATTTAACATTTTCTTGAAGACAAAAACCATGATAATAGCTAAGGTTAAGAGAAATACTATTGCTCAGAATTTTAAGAAGTTTAGAAAAAAGGCAACTGGGAAATGTTAATCAATTCTTCCCTGGGTAAAGTAAAGGGAATGTTTTATGGTCTTGTAATGAGAATTTAGGAGAAACCCTTATGCCACTCATCTCCTAGGAGCATAGACCTTAGTCATGCTCTGCTTCTGATTGCTATATTCCATTTTTCCCAGTCAGATTCATTGTCTCACCCTCAAAAGCCCTAACCCTGTGCCCTGGTTCATTTCTCTTCTAAGCAGGCAATAAGTTGTTTGTTCTGCCAATATTTTAACTAATTCTTAATTAATTTTACTTATGATGATCCTTGAGTTTCCTTTTGGTAGACAGCTGGTTATCTGTAATGTTGTTAGTTGGGCCAGACCAACTAACATGTAAGAAATTGGCTAGATAAAACGGTGAACAAAAGGCAAGAGTAGGAAACTGGAGAGGAATAACCGGAGGCTGCATTGGATGGCACTGGGGAAGTGATGGACAGAAAGACATCTATTTTACAATGAGTTAATTTCTTAAAGAAAAATGTAAGTTAACAACTATTTTTCAAATGACAGTTTGGGGCACTCCTTCAAACAGGAATGAACTAACTAAGCAGTGCTCTAAAGGGTGCTTCCTTCCTGAGTGATGAGTTTGCTGCCCTGTAGGACCAAGGCTGAACACCTATCATAGTACAATCTACAAAATAACTGCTTGTTTGCAGTGAATAGAATTACCTGTTTTTGTTTTCCAGTTCTGCGATGAGCTGCCTTTGCTGTTTGTTAGCATCAAAGTTAAAGCTGAGGTCAGTTGGGGGCCGGGTCTGGAATGAAGAAGGGAGCAGAGGATCGTGAAAAGGGCCATTAAAAATGATTCAGAATCCTATATTTCCCTCTAATGGATTTTCATCCTATATTTCCCTCTAATGGATTTTCAATCCTTTCTGCTTTGTGTAGATTGAAAGGCTTATGGTAAAGAAGAAGGTGGGATCTGAGTGTGAATTTTGTTCTTAACATTTAACTAGTTGAAGACCCCAGACAAGCCACTTAACCTCTGGCAATATATATTTTCTGAAAGGTAAGGTGGAGATAGATAATAATACCTATAGTTGCTAAGTCACAGAATTGTTGTATGTGTTCTGGACTCACACAGATTAGGTCTAATTATAAAGGCTTTTGAACAACTTTATGGCTTTTGCCCCAACCCAGGATTTTTCCTGGGAAGATCAGAACTTAGCTCATGTCTAGGCTTTCCCTCCCAAAAGGAAAAGGGTCCATAACTTCCATTCAAATACATCAGCTAATAAAACATTGGTTTTATTTAATAAGCAAATCCAACAGGCATATACTCAGCCCAGGGATAGTCAAGAAAAACTTTTCTTCACAAGGGTTCTTAAACTGGAGTCCAGGAACTTTTAAAACATACATATTTTTATAGCTATTTCAATATAATTGGTTTCCTTTGTATTCCTGTGTATTTTATATTATGTATTTTAAGGCATTTTTTCTGAGAAGCAGAATAATGTACCTTCTCAACTGCTTCTCCCCTCTGATTAGAGAGTGGAACAATAAACTCCTCCCAGACCCTTCCTTTATAAAGTGCTCAGAGCTTTTCAGGTAACTTCATTTTCCATCAGCTGCTCTGCTTGGTTTTGACTTCAAGAACATCATGCCCAGCACTCCCTTAGGCCTACCTCTACCTCCTTCAGCTTCCTTTTGTGTTTTGTCATCTCCTATTAGATTATAAGACCCATGAGGGCAGGGGCAGTCTTTCTTATTCTTATCTATGTCCCCAGCACTTAGCATAGTTCCTTTCACATAGTAGGCACTTAATAAATGTTTATCGACCTTATTGACTAAGAAAGGGTCCATAGGCACTACCAGACTGTGCCAAAGGGGTCCATGATACCAAAAAGGTTAAGAATCTACACTCTACTGTCCCACTTTCCCTAAGCACTTAGTTCATGGGCCGTATAGCATCCTTTCATTGAAAAGGTACTGTACCTCTTCCAAGTCTCAGATCTTTCTCCTGGGGGCAGGGTAGGGGGAAAGGGGATACACAGACTTCTCCAAGGAGCTCAATCCACCCTAGCTCTATGCTTCCACTCCTGGTATATGAGTGTGTGTCACTTCCCTGTTGATAGGTGTGTGACTGCTACTCTGCTGCTCTCTCTGAAGAGGGAGATGTCTTTCTGTTTCTTGCCTTGTACCAGGGCTTCTAATTCAAGGTTCTATACCAATCTACCTGTTCTCATAAGTGATCCTTCTTGATGGGCAGTGGCTCTCTTTCTTGTTCCAGCTGCCTCCTACTGGTGAGTATTTGTATAATTTTAAAGATATTCCAAGAGCCAATTCCTCTCTGAACTTCATCAGAAGTAATGTGCCAATTTATTAATAATCTTTGCTGCTGCCAACAACATAAATTATAATAAAAGGTAATATGTAAGTGCTAGGACCTCTATTTTTTTGGAGGGTAGGGTATCAGTGTGATTTCATTTTGTGGCAAATTCCTTTACCAATATAGTCATTTTACCACTTAGTCTTATAAAGTTACTTGGAGCAGTGAGAGGTTAAGTCAATTTTAGAAGCTTTTATCAAGTACATACCATGTTCCGGGCACTGGGTTGTACTTTCGTTGGAATAGGTTGTCCCCTTCTACCAACACAGAGTTAGCACCTGCTCTACAACCTGTAGTTTTTGAGAGTGGCTTGGGACATTGGGAGGTTAAACTGAGGATCACACAAGCATAAGGTGTCAGAGGCAGGATTTAAACCTGGGTCTTCCTGCCTGTGAGGCCAGATCTCTGAGGTACCCTATTCCATGCTGCCTCTCATCCAAGATCCATGTGTCCCCCAGACCCCAACAAAATCTTCCCTCATAATAAATAAGTACAGTCAGCTAAGACAAATTGACACACTGGTGACATCTGCAAAGTATGCCTCATTTTGCACTTAGAGTCTCTGCTGAAAGGCAGAGATATGATTCATTATCAGTTCTCCACATATGCTATCCAACTGTGACTACATATCGTAGACCAAAATGCAGTCACACCTGCATGTTGTGGCATTCTATATTCTTTATTCATGTCTTCCCCCTCATGTGAATCGCTAACACCTTGTTGAAGAAGCTTTGTAAGTGCTCTATATTTCAATGCAATCAATTCAATGTCATCTGTAAAGAAGAACATATGAAAGACTTCACCATTTATAGGGAAAATCTCTTCCACTTGTTCTTTGTGTAGGATATCCTTCATGACATTGGTGAATACCTTTGGTGAGCATGTTGCTCTTACTGTTCACTTGATACTAATGATCAGAAGGTAACAGAGCAAATTTTCCTCTACGGTTGCAACTAACAAGGGATCTTGTATGACAGTAACAGGTATGGGCCACATTTTGAAGGAACCCTTAAGACTGCATTTTGCTCTGAGTCAAATTTTTTTGCAATGAGTAATAAACAATAAAATCTTATATCTCCCCCACAATTTTTGATCAATCAAGTGGACATGGTCTGTGTTGAAAATCAACTGGGGATATTTGTCTGTTTCCTTTTGATATTTTCACTAAGCATGCCTTTGATATATGCATAGATCATTGCGAGATCTTATAAAGATGAGAAGGAAATGACAAACCTCTCCACTATCTTTGCCCCCCAAAAAACCCCCATGGATGGTGTATTGATGTGCTATGGTCCATGGAGTCACAGAGAGTTGGACATGACTGAAAGACTGAACACCAAAAATAAAGATGAGAAAATAGATACTTGAGCTTATTAGCTGCTGCTGTCTTCTTCTTACTCCTTAAAAAATAATACTACTACTTGTGATCTTTTCCATTTTGAGGAAGTTTTCCTTCTTAGATGTCTTTAAAATCAAGTCCTGAGTGCCTTTAAAATTGTGCTCCAAAAACAGACCTCTTCTATGCATATTTGGTCAGGTCCAACCACTCTTCTTGGCTTACTTTTCTAAAGTGCCCATTTATGTTTCTTCTTCATTTAATAATGTATGTGTCTAAATGTGATAGTTCAAATGTCATAAATGGTGACAGATTGTTAAAGAAATGCTAGCAAATTTATTCCACTGGATGTCTATTTGTTGTCCTTCCATTTCATTTGTTGGTGCTCTCAGAATGGTGGAAGGAAATTTCTCTTGCCTATGCTTATTATGAATATTGTAAGGCAAGATGATCAAAGATCCTATAAAATGATGTTTCTTGATGGGTTTGGGAATATAGCAAACTCCTAAAACTCTCCTTATTCGCCTTTTCAAGAAGACCCTGTGGGTAATCCTTTCACTCAATTGCAACTTCTCTGTATCTTCTTATTTATCTATTGGTTGGTGTCTTTCATTTGAGAAGAAGACCAAAATGACATCACTATGTTAGAATCAAGTCACAGTATGTCCTACTGTGGTTGATCAAACCAAATATGAGCTCAGGATGTTCTACATGTGATACTAATAATGTATCACAGAATGCTCTACCATAGGTCAGGCACAAATAGTCCATGTGAACTTTTGGGGTGGATTCTCTAAATTTGTGCACCTCATGTTTCTTTTGAGCTACTTCAATTCTGCTTTGCTCACAGAGCACAGCACCTTCTCTGATGAGGGCATGCCATGCTGGGAGGTCCTGTGTAAGTGCCTCCCATGTCACACAATCAATTCCAAAGTTCTTATGAAAGACCTTGAGGGTGTCCTTGTATTGCCTTTTCTAACCACCATGTGAGCATTTGTCCTGTGTGAGTTCTCCATAAAATAGTCTTTTTGGCAAGTGTATGTTTGGCATTCAAACAACATGGCCAGCCCACTGGAGTTGCGCTTTCTGTGGTAGAGTTTGAATACTTGGCAATTTAGGTCAATAAAGGACCTCAGTGTCCAGTATCTTATCCTGCCAGGTGATCTTCAGAATCATTTGAATTGCTATTTTGTTTGTAGTAAGAATGTCAACATAGGTATGGTTCAATTTCTCTAAAAGTGTATACACTCACACTGGTCATGAGACTAAGATCTCATATTTATAGCATGAATATAATGTTTATACAGAGTCTAAAAACTCTTGAGTCTCAGGACCTGTTGTTACCCTTCTGTACCATACAGAAGTGGCTGAAAGCTGCTCGGGATTATATTTATGTATTTTTGTTTATTTCACAGATTGCCATGACAAAAGAATCCATCATTGTGTGGTTAGCAAGTGGCTGATGAGTCTTTCTATGCTTAGTTATCTGGGTCCTCAGATGCACTCAGACAGAATCCAAAACCAAAACTGTGCCAACAGCTTTTCTGGCCTTGCACATAGCTTGTGTTTTATTGGCACAGCTTTTGAGAACCCAGGGTCATTTCTATACCACAACGAAACATAAGAGTAAGACTTTACTAAAGAGCAAAGTGGAAGGTTAGGATCATTTTCAGTTCTGCAATTGGAATATGTATTTTGCTCTGCACATTTTCCTGTTGGCTTGAGGTCATTTTCCTCTCTGTATCAAGAAGCAGACATTTCATGTCTGAGCTAGAGCCTTTTTTTTCTAGTTTCAAGCTAGAAGACTTAACAGATACCTCTTTAAATGAATGGTGTCTTGCAAATAGTGGATGTTCAATAAATGTCTGTTGAATTAAAATTGAATTACATTTAGTATTCCAAAATAAATAGGGAAGAGAGAACAGAATAAAATAAATCCAAGTTGGTTATTTATGACTAAATCTTAGCAAATTAATAAACAAGCATTTATTAAACATATACTATGTACAAGACCCTGTGCTTGCTGTTGGGGATACAAAAACGAAAGTGAAGCAGTCCTTGTCCTGTCCCTGAGGAACTTATGATCCAGG